ATACTCAATGAGTAACATTATTAAGTATATGTCCAGAGAAATAACGATACTTGTTGAGTACTTGCTTTCAAAGTAGTAATGTTTAGCAGTATCAGCCTAGTTGCATGGTTAATAATGATGAGTTTGTTGTAATTTGATTCTAAAATTTGACAGTACTATATTGTCTTTATAATTTATTTTTTTTCCTAACTTTATAATTTATTTAGTTTTGAGATATTTTTTTTCTTTATTGTGATAAAGGTAGGTACAATTGCACTGCCACTGTCTGAGATATTTTAAATACCTGTGGCTTTACTTTTTCTGGAAGTTTTTGCTTAAAACTTGTTTGTCCTCTCCCCTGTAATTCATTTAAGCTTTGGAAGAAGACTTTTTGTAATGCAGTATGTCATATTGCTTTTGTTTACCTTAATATTTCGATCCCTGCAACCTAGTAGATAATAGTGGTGAGTAAATAAGTTGGTGTCATAAGTAATAGAAGCTGTAATCTGAACTAGAAAAGGAAGCATCACAAAATAACAGCACAATAATTAGTCTTACATACAGTTAATACTACATGAAGTTGACTGTTGAGGACAGTAGATATGTCAAAAGAAGCTGGTTCATTAATACGTACAGACAAAACAAGAGTGTTCATGAAGAAACTAACGACTCTTGTAACAAACTTAACAAAATGTAGCAGTGCAAATGACTTGTAAGGTGCATCTATCTTATGAAGACAAAAAGTGAATAGCTCTGAATTAGTTTAGTTTTGATTTCTTGGCAGAGTTGCTGGCTTCATCAGGGGAGTTGTCGTCGTTCAGCTTCTCTATTTCATCAAACTTTTCAGAAAGTCGTTTGCGAATCTTTGGAGAAGAAGTATTTTCTTTTGTAACAAATAAATTTTTCATTTTATATAACTTATTTCAGGGAAAGCATGTTTGTGGATTAGAAGTTCAAAGTATGTGTCTATTTACCTGGTTCAATCAGTTGCAGCGTTGGAGGCTGGTCATTAAGCAACGACAAATGATTCTTTGGTTCCTTTGTTACCTCAATTGAACACTGGTATGATCATGAGCTTCATAGTAATATATCACTGTATAACGCTGCCTAGCGTCAGCTAGTTGTGCTTGCACAGGTTTGATATGAATCAGGAAAATCTTTACTTTGAGCTGTTCATGAACAAGCTCAAGAGAGAGTTCAACATTCTGATAATAAGAAGGAAAAAAAACATTAGTAGCTTTATAACAGGCCTATCAACAAGTGATATGGGACAAAATAAAACCTCATTAAAATGTTGCATTGCTTGAAGAGAGCTGAACGTTAGAAGTTTCTCTGCCAGTTCACCAAATATGGAAGTTGGTATAGCTCCGCTGCTATCAACCAAGTCAACATCAAAGCGACATCTGGAATATCATCAATATAGAGGGAATTAGTAATCGGCAAAATTATTGTTATGCAAAATCCAGAAAGAATCACACAACAAGGACTTATGAATGATCACCTTGGTACAGCTGGTTGCTTCTCCTTGCACGAGTTGCAGGTAAATTCAACCTGATAATCTACTGCTGTCGCTCGATAGCAATTCTTGCAACTCATATACCAGTATTTTTGGAATATGTGCTCAAAGAAGAAACGTGCTCTCACCCAAGTCATCTGCAATATAAAGGGATAATTTCAGAAACCTCCCCTGAGGTTTCTGACACTTTCACTGACATCCCCTGAGGTTCTCAAAATTTCACTTACCTCCCTTGCTTTTGATTTTGTGGTAACAATCCAGTCCAAATCAGATTAAAATATTATTTTCATGTGTGAGAAGGTATTTTTATTCCATAGCTACCCTTTGCAGAAGTTGTATTAGTAGAAGATTCAAAGAAGAATAAATGATTTGGACTAATTAGTAAAGTTGAGGGGGGGGTAAGTGCAATACAAAAAATTGCATGCACCAGATGTGCCATGCAACAGTTATTTGGCAGATTTTGCAACGGCTAGCTGCAAATTGCAACGGCCAGAAGGTTTGCTGTTTCAGTAGCAATAGCATATAAAGCAAAGCAACTTAACTACCTCTGAGGTTTCAAGCTATTAACATTCTTTGCTACTAATTTGGAGTGATAACAAGTGCATTTGCTGTGCTACAATTAGAGCTCTGAGTAAAAAGTTTTAGCTGCAACCATGGCCTCTTCAAGCCATAGGGGAGAATCATGGAATTCACCTACATCTTTCTCCATTAAAAACAGGTTTTGCCGCTGTAATCGCAAAGCAACCGTAATGATATCAGAGAGTGAAAGGAATCCAGACAAGTTGTATTTCTATTGAGAAATTTCCAACTTTGTGATGAATTTTAAAAAAATTCTACAAAAGGGGTGATTTTGGGTTTAATTTCCGTCAGGGGGGTCTTCGCATTTGTGAAATGCGAGCTCAATGAGCTCGCATTTCACAAATGCGAGCTTACAAGAGCTCGAATTCGTGGAATGCGAGCTCTGGTTATTGAGCTCGCATTCCACGAATGCGAGCTCTTCTCAATTTTTTTTTTCCTTTTTTAAGAGCTAGGGAATTATTTCTAGGAAGCAAATGCGAGCTCTTATCTTTTTTATTTTGGTATTTTTTGAGAGGTAGGGAATTATTTGCAGAAAGCTTCTAATTTTTGTTTTAAAAAATGTTGCAAATATTTAAAATTTTGAAAATAGCTCGCATTTGTTAAATTTGACCTGCAAAAATTGTATTTAACTTTTTTGTTAGATTTCGCATTTATAAGTATGACTTGTAGAAAATTAGATTCAAATTTAGATGTATTAGGGTTTTAAAAATATTATATAAGTGATAAAAATTTTATAAATTGTAAAAATAAAATCAAACTGCTTGGATAATTAAATGTTATATTTGCATAAGAAATAATACAATAATCATAATAATGATAATACAATAATATTGGTGTAATAAAACTGCCATTAATTTAAATATTTACTTATAATGCCCAAAGAGCCTAATTACCAATTTTTTCTTCTCGCGCTCAAATATAACATTAACCCGCATGCGAGCTAACCTTGAAATAGAAAAAACACAGAATCCCGCTTGCGGGTTTCAGGAGTATTCGGATATTCTCATATGCACCTATGCAAATCGAACCAACCGGATATCTTATCCGTATCCCATTTTTTTAAATAAAAATCTTATAAATTTGAAAAATAAAATCAAATTTAGATGTATTAGGGTTTTAAAAATATTATATAAGTGATAAAAATTTTATAAATTGTAAAAATAAAATCAAATTTAAATAATTAAATGTTATATTTGCATAAGAAATAATACAATAATCATGTATCAGGAATCAAGTTTCTATTATTGTTGTTAAGCTTAATTAATCATATCAGATGCCATTATGTAACTAAACGGTAGTAATTAACCCCAACTACTTGGGATATATCTGTAATTTTGGCCCTGATGACGTCAGAAAAGGGGCCCAATTTTTTATCAAGGGAGGTAAGTGAAATTTTGAGAACCTCAGGGGATGTCAGTGAAAGCGTCAGAAACCTCAGGGGAGGTTTCTGAAATTATCCCCAATATAAACAAGCACAAGGGAACAAATGGGGAAAATTGTTTTAACACCTTTTGTGATGGGCTAACATTACAAATCAAGGTAGCTTTTTGATCAGTTCTGAGAGAAATTGTAGGATTATACTTCATGTAATCTCTTTTAACAAGAACATCTGCAATTATTTGAGAATTTCTAAGCGCCCTGCACGAGGGAAAAATGCAGAAAAGATGTAAGAAGCGAAAAATTATCTGTAGTTGCTGTTTTGTGAGATAGAAACAGGGCATTGGAAGTGCAATATACCAATTCTTTAGCTCTCTTGCTTCCTGTATAGGCGGATCAACAAGTATGACAGAATCAAACCAAGTACCTAATGCAACTCCTATAGAAAGAATAAACATTAATACCATGCGTCTTGATTCTGCGAAAGGTATATATAAGAGTGTGCAGAACAAAAATATAAAAATATTAAAGGAAAAAGTACCATTGTAATTATTCACTTTAATTCTCCGTGCAATAATGACAGGATAGTTGTGAAGGCTAGACAGTAGTTGTTGTCCTTCATTAGCAAGAAAGTCATCCCATAAAGATAGCAATACTGTCTGTGATCTGTAATCATTATTAATACAAGTAATAGACAGGAAATAACTTAATTCAGATTTAGGATTAAGATAAGAAATAAGATACTCACTCTTCATCAAGAAGAACAAACTTTTGAACACTTGATTCTCTTGAGTTTCTGTTTAACGTCTTCTTGTCCAGTGCAGCAATCACAACTCCTATCACATCTGTAAAAACAAAACCAACATAATGGAAAAGAAGGTAATAATATGGTAAGCACAGCAATATCAATTCACTGAGAGACGTACCAACTGATTTATTCTTGTCATCCATGTGATGCACTAAATCAGTAAATTTTGTATAGTTGAATTTCACAGGCATGATTTCATTATCAACGTCATTTATTTCTTCAATGACAGTTTTAGTGCTCAGGTGTCTGGAATTTTGCTGGGATAGGCTTCACTTCAGCATTTGTGATCTTGTACATTTTATAAACACGTAAGAGTGGACTCATTTTAGGAATATCAGCATTGAAGATTATTGCTTCAACTTTTGATCCCTGAGGCACACAATTGGTAGCTTTACAATTAGCTAAAAAACAGAAATATCTTGTAAAACAAGTGCATAGAAAAAAGCGAGTACAAAGGTCTGTTAACCTCTGCATCATAAAAGATAAATTTTTGTTCTTTTGTCGGCGTTCCCTTCGAGTCAGTAATCTGTTGCTTTTCTTGAACAGTGACGAGGCAACTCCAATTCTTCATGAAAGGGACAATGTCTTGGATAGGTAGCAAGTTAGTCATTCTGCATCAAGATAAAAACATAGATAAATGAATGCAAATAAATAAGGCAAGCGTAATAGTATATTGGAGTAAAGAAAGAAAAATTTGTATATGCACCTCATTCCAATGTATAGTTAAAGTAGACAGGTTCTTTATTGTTGAGTTAAATAAAAAATCTCATTAAAGACAATATTCCTAGTTTTGCAGTCAGTCTTTCTCTCATCAAACGTTCCAGGAACGAGAAGAACCTTAAGCTCAGCAGCAGTTCTAGCTCTAGAGAGTGCGACATACAGCTGTCCGTGTGAGAAAATGGGTTCACACAAGTAAAGGCCGATGTAATCCAGAGTTTGTCCTTGCGACTTATTAATGGTTAACGCAAAACAAAGTCGGGCAGGAAATTGAGTTCTTATGAATGGAATTCCATTCCTTTCATTGTCAGATGTCTGAAGAGGTATCTTTGGGATGAAGACTTTTTCCTGCATGACTGCCAAACACAATCTCTGCAGAAATAATATTCAAACTTAGCTCTCCACAGAAATATTAATCTTGTGCCATTACACAATCCTTCACTAGGATTTAAATTCCTTAATAGCATAATAGGACAGTTTTCTTTTAGCAGCAACTTATGAGGAGGAAGCCCTTTTGGGTTCTGTGAATTCAAAAAATCTTCATAGTCTCCTTGGTGTCGCTGCTCAACAGTCCGATCTAAACTTATATAAACTTGAAGATTTCCAGGAAATCTGTTTATTAATAGCTCGTTGAGCTCATCAACTGAGCTATTTTTGGGAGCAAGGATGCATCTATTTATCATGGTATAAGAATCTTTAGAATACAGATGCAAATCTGGAAAAACACTTTCAAGCAACCTGTTTAAAATTATAAATAACCATAATCAATGAAAGGTAGAGATAAAAAGAGGGATCAGATAGATAAAGTATAACCGTATGCAAGCTGTTGACCTGTTTAAAGATTGTTCCTTATCATAATAAGGAATAACTATATCAGGCGGTAAAGTGATTTCGCCATTTCCATCTACAAGCTCTTTTCCCTCGCCTATTCTTAGTAAGAACTAAGAGAAAGCAGGATCTAACATGGCTCTCATATTCTGTGTGAGTCTCAGCTTATGTAATTTAGACCAGAGAATAGAATTAGGAAAGCTTGATTCTACGAGGACTTATTTTGTTGCTCGCTCAATAACTGGCAAGGTTTGGCGAAAATCTCCACCAAAAACGACAACCTTCCCTCCAAAAGACAAATCAGAATCCATTGTGTCTCTAAGCAAGTCGTCATATGCTTCAATCATCTCTCGCTTAGCCATTGACGCTTCATCCCAAAGGATAAGCTTACACTCAAAAAGCAATTTGGCAACACTGCTTTGTTTGCTGAGTTGACAGGTCTTATTCTTTGAAAAGTCCAATGATATCTTAAATCTTGAGTGTGCCGTTCTCCCTCCAGGAAGAATCGACGCTGCAATGCCAGAAGTGGCAACAGCAATGGCAATGTAACCCTGTGATCTTAATGCAGCAAGTAGCGATCGGTATAAGAATGTTTTACCAATGCCTCCTGGGCCATCAATAAAAAAAGCCTGGCCCTCAGCAGAAAAACATGCTGCAAGAATCAGGTCATAAGCATGTTTCTGTTCACAGTTTAACTTGAGAGACATTAGCAAATCGTCTGGAGTAACATGTAAACCTCTTTCATTTTCAATTTCCCTTGTTAATCGTTCATGAGGACAAGAATCAAAACCATGCGAAACTAATAGGTAATCAGTAATTCGCTTTCCCATTTGCTCCAATGACCTGTTAATGTCCTGTAGAACTCTTGCCCTGATCTCTAAAGCACTAAGGACAGAAAATGAGCATTGTCGCTGGTAATCTGCAGATAGTTCATGTTGGAATTTTTCCTAGAGCAGCCGAGGATTTACAGGAGAACAATGGACAAGCAAAGTAGCAAATAGTAATCTTAAGGAAGACGGCATCTGAAAGGTCATAGCTTCTTGAAACGTATCCTCTATGTAAGTATCGGATTGCAAGAGTCCTAATGCTAAAGCAGCTTCTCTAAAAGAATTCAGTTTTTGATTAGCAACCGTCAAAATATGATCAAAGGAAGTCGGGCCATGAACATGATTCAGAAGTAGTCTAACGTAGTATCTTTCTCCATCCGCTGGACTAAGAGTGACCATTCTACCTATCACTTTTCGACACTTCCTTTCAGTCCATTTCTTATATTTAGGAGACCAAACGAAGTATTGAGGGAATTCCCTGTAAAGACATTTAAGGTTATGTGCAACCACATTTGTTTTGTTCATATCAAAAAATTCAGTTAACATGGTCTTTGAAAAATCAACTTTGCTCAATAATTGCAACAGGTCTGAATTTTTGTCAAACGAAACAAACTGCTGGTCCAGGAGATGGATCTGAAGAGTATAGACTACTGGACTTATTTCGCTCAAGCGAAATTCAAAGATACGCCAAAATGCCTCAGGGGGCGAAATCCATCTACCTTGCTGAAATTCTCTTATCTCATCAGTGTCATCAGGAGCATGGTACGAAACAATCCTAAAACTGACTGAATCATGTCCTTTGAAAACATACTTATATATGTACTTCACCAATTTAACAGTCGAGCAAATTTCTACATTAATGTGACAGTCAAATGTAGCTAACAGATAGGGACTATAACAGACAACCCATCTGTTATCAAGAGTATGCCTTCGGACCTTTATTTTTGTACCATCATCTCTTCTTCTATATTGCGGATAACTATCTTCAGCATGAGTCGTTTGGGCACAAAAGGTCTTAGGATAGTGATATTTACAACGACCATCTTTTATACAAGGACAAGTTCTATCCAGATCACCACAAGGACCATGAATCATGTGCTTTACAACAAGGGAATATAGATGAGGGTGCCATCCGCATTCGCCGCGCGGGAAAAGAAGAGGGTATTGTAATGGATCATAGCAGCCATAGTAATGTTTAATTTTGTAGCTGCTATTTGAATGCGCATAAACTTGAATATGAGCTCCCGTATGACGGTTTCATCTTGATTTTCAGTCCATATCGCCGCAACTTGGTAGGCAGAAGGCCAATTATAAACCCGCTGATCAAGTGTGGGATAACAATTAAGCATAATGCTAAGGTTGTTAATGTTTGGAACATGCCTTAAATTTTTGAAGAATTTAGCATAAGGATTGTCGCTAAGAATGCGCATAAGAAGTGTTAAAGTGCTTTCTCGCAACTTATCAGAGGCAGCAATCCTCTTTGCTAATTCTTCATCAGTGTCAAAAAAGTAGAGCTGAATCTCAGATGCTCTATCATCCGACTGAAGAAGGCCATTAAGAAAATGATAAACTGACCTTGAACGTGAAAGGTGTAAACACCTTTTGTGTTCTTTGTTAATTTAGAATCATATTTAGCAGCAAATGATGTGAAGCCTAAGTTATTGTTGTAAGTGCGAGCATTATTTCTAAAATGAAATCTTTCCTCATCACGACCAATAAATAAGTGCTTCAAATCATAAGGCATAGAAGGAGTAACAAGAGAGATTTCTCCTCCAGAGCAACAAAAAGTAGGAGGTTCCAAATGGAATCTCTTGGCTCCACAATGGTCACAAGGAGGAGCATCAGGCAGAACCAAAGATACATTAGGAATATTGTTCATGATTGAGAGATTTGGCTGACCGCGCCTGCGCTTTCTTCCTGTAAGTTTTTGTATGCGGTTGACAAACAGGTTGAGTTAAAGCTCTGTATAACGAGGCAATAACGGAGGCTAAAGATGGCGACAGCTAAATGAGAAACAATACTGAACCTGCATTTTCTGTTCTCACGGCGGAAGAACTACCACGCTTCTTGCTATACTCAGAAAGGCTAGGCAATGGATCAAGGGAATCGTTCCTTTTTTTTTTCCTTGCCTGGCGAGGATAATTTGGTGCAAGCTGATTAAACTCTCTCCTTGGGAAAGAAGAGGGTTCTGTGGATAATAAAAGCCAACAAGATGAGCACCACAGCTGAGCAGGGTTGTGTATGCCAAGAGTTAATACACAGTAAAAAATGTTGAGGAGGTGAAGGAGCAAACAATTAGCCTGCAAGTTATAGCTTAAAGAGAACTCAATAGGGAGCGTTTAAGAAAGGGATTGCACCAAAGGAAAGCCAAATATCTGGAAGCATTTGGTAATGCACGGTTTTATTTTCACCAACAGGTTAATATTTTGAAACTGAAATTTTCTATTGTGGAAAGTACAGGCAGGAAAAGGCGCAGATGCTAATTAAGTAAGGTTGTAACTGGTCAGAGTCTGATTCTGAACAGGAAAGGTTTGGAAGGTTCTAAGTGTTTTGAGAAGGGCTAGGGAGAAGACATTTATTGAAAAGAAGTATAGCAACGCGCAAACAAAAGAGAGCTAATTTACAGGAATACAAAGTACTTAGCAATAAATAGGAAGGCAGAGAAGCAGGAATGATGTGAAGGAGGAAAGGCCAAGCCAAGTAGAACAATAAACTAATTAATAAAAAAGCAATACCTTTATTAAGGGATACAGCATCACTGGAAGTTGTTTTTTTCCTAGAAGAAGAAGATGACGAAGCATGATCATCGAAGAAATTAGGTACAGCAGAAGAAATGCAGGGCAGCTGCCAGTTATCTGTAATAACACTATCGACTGGAACCAAGCATTCTCCATTTTCTAGTGCATTAGAAAGCACACGAGCTTGATCATGAGTGTCAGAAGGTCTATCGTGACTATATGAGAAACAAACAGAAGATTCCATAGAAGTAGGCGGAATCTTTCGAACGCGAGAGAGGAAAAGGCTCTGTTTTTTCTTCGCAGCTCTAGCTTCACATAGAGAGCGCAGAAATTCTGCTTTCTTGGCAGGCGGCATTTCTGCGTATTTTTTTCGGCGCAAGGCATTTTATCCATCTAATTCCAGCTACTAAAAAGAGTAGCAGCAACCCGAGGGTATTAAGTAAGCATGACAAGATGGAATTTAACAGCAAGGAACAAGCCAATAAAAGTCGTTTAACGCAATAACACACAGCTGAATAATGCAAAAGTCAGAGAAAGAATGGGCAACCGAAAGCAAACAGCAGTAATGAGTTAATAAAGGCTGCATGGATAACCAAGGAAGCCACAAAGCGGGAAACTTGCAACACGGGGAAAAGGGAAAAAAGATACATGATTAATTAAGATATAATATAAGAAAACACACCAGCGCATACTAAAAGTAAACAAGGTAACAGCGCAGGTACATGCTAAGAAAAAGTCAAGGGAGAAAAACGAGAAGGGAAGCAACACTACCTCTGCCAAACACAGAAGCAGGAACACCTCAGCGAATATAAAACAGCAACAACAAGGCGGACATAATTTCTTGCTGTAAAAAAAAGGGATAAACAAGCGAAAAGCAAATGTGACATAAGACAGAGTACAGCGGAGAGGAGCAAATAATTTCGGAAAATGCAGTCAAAGAATAAAACAAGGATAAAGATACTAAAACCTGTACTGAAAAAAGGAGGAGCTGACAGGAGAATCCGAACAGAGAAAAATCTACACAAGAACAAGATATTTCAAAAGTCATGTAAAGCAGAGGATCTTGTAAGTAAGGAAAAGAAAAAGATTCCAAAAAGGAATAGATTCGTAGTAAAAAAGAAGGAGCAAGGCAAAAAAAGAGATAAACCATGAATCTATTTAGAACAAAGCAAACGGAAGAGAACAATGAAAAATTCATAGCATGCAGTAAACCATGCCTACCAGCTGTTAGCCGAAAGTTGCAGAGATGCAAGCAAGCTTCCAAACAGGAAGAAGTCTAGCCAATTGTTTACGGAAGAAGAACAACATGCAAAACTAAAACAAACAACACTAATCATAATGCAGGACTCCCAAAAGCCAATGGACAACTGACGCTGAGAGGACGAAGGATGTACGGGAATTGGTTCAGCAGTCTCAGCAACAGTGAAAAGGAAAAAGAGAAGAAAAGAGCAGAAAGTCATTCTTTGTCAGCATTTGACAGCGTTTAGAAAGGCAATTTTACACAAACAGGCCATCCAAAGCAAGAGGGCCTCTAATGCAGAATCTGCAATATTAGCATAATACTCAGGGTAAAATTGTCATTTCAGTTTCCATGACCACCTAACCGTTGTCATTCAAGAAGACCACTTGGGATCCTCGGTGACATGTTTTCTATGCCAACGCAATGTCACCAATAGTGTTGCGCCAAGTGTCTTGTTATTATTTAAACTTGTGTTAAACAAGCCAAATTGAATTATTAGAAAATTAAAGTGTAAATAATAACAAGATACTTGGCGCAACACTATTGGTGGCATTGAGTTGGCATAGAAAACATGTCACCGATGATCCCAAGTGCAAGAAGACATATCACACCTGCTAATGTGCCATAAGGCCCATAACCACTACTCTCAGAACTCTCTTCTTCACATCACCAATCTTATACTAATCTTCCAGTGTCAGTTATAGTCATATATAGTCCTCTCTTATATTATATTATATTATAATAATAAGAAACCAAAATGGGAACCGAACCAGAATACAACGGAAGGAAGAAGGGAAAAAAACAACCTATAATTGGAGAAGAGAAGAGAAGACAAGTTGGACGAACACTCTCAAACCAATCATGTTTGGCCACATCATCAACAGTACACACTCTTGAGGCATGCCATTCACTCTTTTATACATATGCTAATAAAAAGTCTCACTCATACTTGAGAAATTAAAATGAAAATGTTGAACCACTTAATGATTTGATGATGGTCAGATTTTTTACAAATAATTACTTCTCCTTAGAATGCATTGATCTTGTATTACAGTATTACATGGGCTGTGAAAAGTCAAAAGATGATAGGATTAATCGGACACGTGGCTTGGTAGCTTGATTCATGGACAAAAATATTGTAAAAATGTTGTCCTGGATAAGAGAAGAAGAAAATAGAATCAAAATGTCATCACGAAGTGACACAAAAAAGAAACGTGGAAGTGAATGGAATGGGAAATCTGCAGAAAATTTGGGGTCATCATCATTAATGCCAATTGCTGTTGGTTACAAGCCTGATGTGCGAATACTTGAAGAAAGAAAAAGCAAAGCAGTAAAATGGGGAAAATTGTTATTTACCTCCTTGAAGATTTGGATATAATCACATCACTCTCATAAAGCTTACAAATATTCATATAACCCATATCTTGTTTTACATAAAATGAAAATGAGTAAATCTTTCCTACACTGACGGTGTATACACTATCATCGTTGGATTCATGACATGTGTGCAAAAGTTGAATTTCAAACTCAAATTTTATATAGTTGTCATTCATCCAACGCTGATAGTGTATACACTGTCAGTGTAGAAAAGATTAATCCAGTGAAAATTACTCAGAAAGTAACCCCACTTGCAAGCTTCAGAAATGTGTGTGCTGATGTTGAGCTTGTGTCTGTTTAGATAGTGGGTTTAGGAGGTGCTCATTTAAAATTTACTCTACCTCATTGTAGTTGTTTTTAAAAAAATGACTTTATATGCAAAATCAATTATATATATATATTGACAGTGTATACACCACAGTTATTAAACCCGGCCCGGCCCGGTGGTTCAACCGGTCAACCCGGTGAACCGGCTATGAAACCGGGCCGGGTTCTTAACAAGATCGTTTCTGCATTGAATCCGTTGACTTTTCAACGGACCGGCGGTTGAACCGGTTAACTCGGTTGAACCGGCCGATTTTATGAAAAACCCGGTCGAAAAAAATTTGTAAACATTGCTGGAATTGAGAATTGAACGCGACCTCATGCAAAGAAGAAGACAACCATTACCGTTGGACCAACCAACAATTTATTAGTTACTTCGTTCTTATATTTTATATTACAATCTTATTCTTATTTTATTTCTCCAAAACAAAATTTATTTGAAATCTTTTAATAACATTTTTATTATTCCCTGAACTCTATAAATTATGAAATTGACTTAAAAATAACATATTACACAAATCATTTTAATGGTAAATATTATTCTTAATAAACTTTTGCACTTAAAATTCATAAATAAACTAGATAATTATACTTAGATAAAATTTTATACTTGAAATTTGGTGGATTACTAATTAAATTTAGGTTGTTAATTCTTATAAAAATTAATGAATCTATAATAAATTAAACTAACTGAATATTTATTATGGCATAAAAATTATAAAACATAATATTTAAATATATGTAGTGACCCACCGGTTGGACCACTCACCCACCGGTTGAACCAGTAACCCGTTGACCCACCTCCTTCACCGGGTTCCTCCCCGGCCGGGTTTAATAACTATGGTATACACTGTTATCATTGAAGAAGGAGAAGAGTAAATTTTCCAAAGCATCTCTTCCTTCTCCTTCTACTTTTCTCCTCGTGCACCCAATCATGCAACCTCTCTCTATCTTCCCCTTCCCTCCCCCCCTTCTCGCTCTCTCTCTCAATGTTCCCCCTGCACCCCTTCTCATTTTTCCAACTCCCTATTAGGGCTGGTAATAATCCGAGTTGAGTTTGAAATACATTACCTAAGTTCAAGCTTGATGGACCTCTATTTTTGAAAGTTGAGCTCGACTTGTGCAAAATATAAGGACTTTGATACCGAACTCTATGTCAAATGACAAGTAAATTGAGATCGAGTCCATGCTTTATTCGAGTTTGAATGGTAAGATATGTAATTTGTCACTAGAATATACGCTCTTAGATATTTTAACAATTATATAAAAAATAAAATCATATATAAGAAAACTTGTGTTAATCTTGAACCAATTTGAGTTATTAAAAAACTAAAGTGTTAATGATAACAAGACACTTGACGCAATTCTAGCGGTGAAATTGGATTGACATTAGAAAAATGTAATTGAGGATCCCAAGTAATCATCACACAAATATAATATAAAAGTTTAATGTGCCATTTATAAACTTGTATTCATTTAACATGAATATAATTGTGACACGACACAAAAACTAAATGACACGACATATTTACAGCCCTAACTATCATAGCACTTGCACGTTTCTTTGAAGATATGACACTTGCACTTATCAATAAGATGTAACAAAAACAAAGTAAGAGGGTAAATAGACTAAAGATGGCCAATTGTAATTAAAGGACATATAAATACAATGAGATTTTCCACGTATTAGTTATGACCGCACAAGTGATCGTCTGATTAAAGATTATAATTATAAATAGCCAAAAGTGATAGGTTCTTTTCATTTCATGTACATTTGATAAAACTAAAATTTGAAATTTGAAATATGAAATAAAAATCTATTAAATTACTAAATTGTTAAGCATTAAAATCTTCACATTTGAGCATATTTTACATTAATTAATAAGTGAATAGGTTATCACTTATTTTTTGGAGTTAGTTTTGTTTAGAAAATTAAGTGCCATTTAATTAATTAAAATGTTATATTTTTATTATCAAATGCGTCTAAATATATTAAGATTTGAACCCATTAAATTTAAATTTTAAATCATGTTATGAGGCAGGGCCAAAGTAAAAAACTTGATATGATAACAGGCGGCACTCAGGAAATGATAAAGTTAAATCAGAAAAGTTTTTGATTACCACAGGAATAACAAATGGTAAATCAAAATAAAATTGGCTGTTGTATGTTTTATATTGAGTTTAGAACAAATACATGACATTTTTAGGGTTAATTATAATTTATCCCCTTAAGGTATATATTGATTCTCACTTTACCCCATAACCTTTATTTGTATCATTTAACCTTGGAGAGACAAATTACCCCTTTATGATGCTGATTTTCTCTCTTTTTTAGTCTTTTCTTTTTTATTCCAAATTAGTTTTGTATTTTAAAAATTTTAATTTAAGCAAATAAAATTTCTCTAACAAAAAATTTATGTTGTTCATTCTCTAATTTGCAAAGTTGAACAAACTATATATATATATATATATAGTATAATTAATTAATTATAACAGAAGAAAGAACAAATTTTGACAGAAAAAAAGAGAGAGAGAATTTCTAAATTTCAGAAACGCACTGGAGAATTAAAGATCCCATAATCGATTGAGTGTAATCACCTTGATGACATTATAAGATCCCATAATGTCAAGCAATACATTAACAAATAAAACTTTAGGGTCTTTAGCATTAGCATTGTATTTTCAAGTCTGTCATCAAACCAAAACTAAAGAAATTCAAGAAAATAATCGCCACACAGTATCATACTTGGGAACCAAAAGTAAGCTTTGGTAACAATGATCAAGTTAGATCACATGATGGTGCAGTTATTGGCGGTATAATCCCCATAGGGGTACGAATGTGGGCGGTACGACGATCCATAACCTTGACGGTAGTGATTGTAATAATTATAAGGATTCTGGTGATCTGCCATTGTCGACCTCCTTGGTGGGTAGAACTGTTGCCATCCCGGCCTTCTGTACCTGCTATAGCTGTGGGGTTCCTCGTAATTTCCGTAGCCATAGTTGCTGTAATTATGATAGTCATCATTGCGCGGGTTCAGCTCCGGATGCTTCACCTTCACCCATGCCAGCTCCGCATGCTTCCCAGTTCTGGCTAAGGCCTTGAGAAGCATGTTTGGATCCACCTCCCCGTACACTTTTGCCAGCCCTTCCTGTGCATCCACGTCTACTGAATACACACCTGCCAATCAGTTAAAAATAGAGAGAGGACGTGAATTTTCAATGCTGCCATGCATATAAGGAGAACCGACCTATTTTTATTGGAGGGATTTCTTTAGTTTTCTTCCACTAATTCATAGTCAATTTAGAGTCAGGGAGACTTCTAAATTTTCTTTTAGTTACCATCTCCTAGCAACATAAGGCCCCGTTTGGCAAGTGAATTTTTTTTATGTTTATCTAAAACTTTATTATAGTTTACTGTAGAAGCTGTAGCAAATTTTTTTGAAATATGTAAATTTTTAAATATTTTGAAATGTATAGTTAAAAATTTTGAGAAGTTTTTGAAATTACTGTAGTTAATATTATTAAAAAACTTGTAACAGACAAACTTGGCAAAAAACTTACCTGCCAAACAAAGCCATAAGGCGGGCCAGAAAGGCAAGAAGGGCTAATGTTGAAGCTACAAGAAGCCAAGCCATGGTCTTCTACCGTCACAAATACAGTACAGGTATGTATACAGACAGACATATATAAGACGTACGTATTTAACGTATTGCAAATTAACTAATAAATTTGATAAAACTAGTGGATAAGAGTAATTTGTAACTTTCAAATTCATAGCATATGTAAACATTTTTATTTTTTTCCCATTTCCTTCTACAATATTATAGTTCAATAATTATAATGCATGGTGCTAAAACATTAAATAATAGAACTCAATCTCATAACTTATTACGCAACTATATCATCTCGATGGCAAATTCAAGTGGACAAGTACCATAACTTAAACAAAATTTATCAAAATTTTACTGTTTAGACCACGACTCCTTTTGGCCGGTCTTTCTCTTTTCTCCCCAGAAAAGTAACAGGTAAAAAAAAAACAGGAGAATAAAAGGTTAAAGGAACTAATATGGATGATTACCAATAACAGAACTCAGCACTTGGACCACCTTCATCTTACACGCCTCACAATTGACATTCACTTTCAAGATACAACACTGCCATGCCATTGTTGTAATAAATTAGCTACAAATAGGTGTTTACATTTTGAATTTTTTTTTCCAAAAAAAAAAAAAGGTACCACTTACTGCCTCTGCATAAGACTCCATTGCACCACTGACGAAAATATCACCAACTGATCCAAGAGAAACAAGAAAAAAAAAACTAATCATGCTTTTGACTGTTAATAAAAAAAAATTAATTGTATACCAATCACCCACCATGATTACTTATCCAAGATTCAGTAAAATATGATATGCAAACAATTACTTGAAAATAAGCAAAATAATAATAATAATAATAATAATTTTTTTCTTCTTAACACATGTAACATGTACATATTTTGGTGTTTGATAATTGCCTTTTCCCTGTTTCGGAACAACATAATGCATCACGCAATAATATTTAATTCTGAAGACGGACGAGAAACCAAAGAATAATACATGCATCAAGAAGAAGTATTGAGACGGACGAGAGGAACCAAAAAACAGAAAGCGAACCTCTTAATTGCCTTGAGTACTACCAGGGATTTGGGAAATTGAGATGGAGAGTAACAGTCTCTCGGGTAACAACAACGTATGTATATATACAAACGAAAATCTTATGGTTTTGGTAGCTAATTCTGTGATATTGGAAAATGAGGCCTTAACATAGAAATAGAACCTATTATGAGAATAAAATTTCCATTATGAGGTTTTGAATATAGAAATAGAACTTGTAAGAATGCATTTTCTCATATACTGGAATTGAATATTGCTTGAAATATTTTAAGAAATGATACTAGAAGTTGATTGCCTCGGGAGAAGGAAAGAAAAGCTGCCTTGAGGGTGTAAATTTGCGGTACAACTTTGTTAATCTAAGTTTCCTCAAATTTTTTTACGAATAGCTGCTATTTTAAGAATAGCTCCTAGAGTTACTCCGTAAACCAGGAAAGAAATATTCTTGAGATTACTATAAAATTTTGTCAAAATCAATATCCTTGTATAATACAATTGAACATGGTTTAAAGTATATTAAGAGTAAGAATTTCATCTATTCTTCAATGTAAGAAATTAAGAAAAAAATTTGTATTCTATTTGCTTATAATTAAAATTTGTATTTCTAGTACTTTTTGCTTTACCTTTGAACTTCAAATTTGGGTGATAACGTTTATACCATGGCACATCATGTATTCTAACTGTTACAATAAATAAAAAGATAGATGGATGCTTCGTGACGCAACATTTTGTCGTTAAACCTCTAAATATACAAAAGTTTTTGTAAAATTTTTATAGCAAATTACAATAAAATTCTAGACGAACATCCAAAAAACAAACCATTCAAATAGATCCGTCTCTCCATATTTCCATATGCATGCCCAACCTTACAATTCCTTTTTGCTTTACAACCCTACCACTAACAACCAGTATACTTTCTAGAGTTTTTCTAACAAGTGTTCAATGGGTACTCGCTAATACATTTGGATTATATCTAATTTACAATATGAATTCACATATTAATAATTATTACCTTATGTTACATTATATGCTTTTCTTAATTAAAACTATTTTTTTATATTTATATACTCTCCCTAATTAAAATTACTTTTTCAAAAGATGAACATGTGAATTAGTGAACTCTATCAAAATTGGACAGACCCCACTGTCAATTAGACAGATAATTTTTTAGATTGACAGACCCCGCCGCATGTCTTGCCCTTTGCCGCGTTGGTAATTTGGTATTATGCCTGGCTCCGATCCCCGGTTGCCAACCCCCAAGCTCCAGCCCGCCCCTTTCCCCGGCCCGCAGAAAAAGAAATAAAAAATCCCATCCCCCAACAATTTACATTTGCTTTGCTGTCGAAATTCTCCGCCTTTATTCACGCGGGAACTAAAATTACAGTTTCTAGCGTTGATGCATTTGCAACAGCTTTAACAACAGAGAAATCCTCCCACCAGCCACAGTTAAAGCTATCGCTAAAATGCAGGGGTAATTCATCATTATACTAAAACAGAAGTACAGTTCGTCAGATACATGTTCCCTTGCTGGACAAACTGGTCTTAAAATTATGTTTTGATAATAAATTTTTTAAAAAATTTTTTTTCTTGTATCATAAATATATTTTTTAATTTATTTTTTTATATTTTTAATCACTTTTTTATCTGATATACATCACATTATAAAAATTAGAGTTAATTACATTTACCTCCCCTGAGGTTTGACTATATTACCAATCAATCCCTGTAATTTGTCCAAATAACGGTCTCACCCTTTGAATGATCAAACGTTTAACAAAAACCCCCTTAATACCGAAAATGCCCTTTTTGAGGCCATATTGTATTAAAAAAAGAACATATTTTTATTTATTAACCTTCAAGTAATCCAAAAAAATAGAAAAAAATTTTTGCTTATTATTTTATAAAAATCATATCTTTGCTTCCATAAATAGTTTTGAATCAATAATTATTTTAAATCTTAAAAATAAATATTAAAAATTAGATAAATTGAAAGAAAAATAAAAAAGAAGCAATTATTTTAAATCCTCAAGTATGGTTCGAATTTGTGGTTCAAGGCATGTTGCGGAGAGCATAAGGCATGTTTTCCTCAATTTGAACCATACTTCAGAAATTAAAATAATTTCTTCTTTTTTTTTAATTTTTCTTTCAATTTATCTAATTTTTAATATTCATTTTTAAGATTTAAAATAATTATTGATTCAAAACTATTTATGAAAGCAAAGATATGGTTTTTATAAAATAATAAGCAAAAACTTTTTTCTATTTTTTTGGATTGTTTCAGGGTTAATAAAATAAAAATATGTTCTTTTTTTAATGCAACATGGCCTCAATAAGGGCATTTTCGACATTAAGGGGGTTTTTGTTAAACGTTTGATTATTCAAAGGGTGAGACCGTTATTTGGACAAATTACAGGGATTGATTGATAATATGGTCAAACCTCAGGGGAGGTAAATGTAATTAATCCTAAAAAGTATTATAGTAATTATTTCAAATAATTATTTGAAATAATTCTCTATCCATATCAGCAGCTTTAGAAGGGTCGAGACTACGACTTACTTATATGAACAGTGATTATGACTTTTAAATTACATCTTAGAAGATAGGTTCAATTATTAGGGTTTGGGTAGTTGGCATTAAATATTGTTAGTGTGATTATTGTACTCTTTTTTTATGATGTGATATTTATTAATATAATTTTATTATATGGGTAAAAATTTTGTTCGTGTATCTACTTAATGTATTGAGTACAAATACATCTGTAAGAGCACACTGATTCTTGAAGACAAGTATAACAATTCCATCAACATTACCTAATGCCAATCATACCTGTCCCAAATTCTAATTGTTACATGTTTCGTGAGTGACATTTAACAGCACTACTGTTAAGCAAATACAAGAGTGCTCGACGATATTTGAAAATTTTGTGGCAGTGATTTCATTGCTCATTCATTTATTTACTGTTGTAATCCATGTAAAAGAGAAAGGGCTGTTGTATTCTACTCCATCACCATCAGTGACTGATCAATGAAGGAAGGGTTTAATTTTTATTAAGGCTCTATGTTATTGCTGCAGAAGTACACACCCTCCCTACTGCTTATGTAATTACAAATTACTCTCATCTTTGTTAATAGTTCTAATTTGTTTTAAGGCGCCTTCAAAATTTAACTCAAAAATTGGAAACAAAACCAAAACCCATATTCTAGGAACAGATTGGAACCAGAGAAAAAGACAGATACGGGGTCGAAAGGTGTGCTGCTGGAGAGGACGGACTTCCAATTCGAAGGGGATGACCATTCCACACGAGATCGTGGTCCATGTCCATCCCCTTTATCACCTAATCCCTTATAAATTGTGGTCATGGGTGCATTCCAGTTCCTCGTCCTGCATTCAAAGCTTCCATTGATTACTTCTTTTATCTCAGACTCCTATCTGTTTCTACAGAAAATGTCGTGCTGCGGAGGAAACTGTGGCTTTGACTGTGGCGGGCAAGTTTCTTTTCTTTTCTTCAATGAATCGGACGCGCATGCATGAATTTGGGTTTCTTGTGAACTCGTAAATCAGGACGTATGTCGTCATGTGGGATGTTTATCTAGCTAATACAATCTTGTTGTCTGTAAATAGAAAATGTCAGTCGTGTGGGTCGCACTGTGGAGGATCCTGTGGCTGTGGTTCTTGTTGCATGTGCTGCAGCGGCTGTGGCCAGTAAGTTAGTTTTCTTTCTTCAATCAATCGGACACGCATGCATGAATTTCATTTTTTTTTTCCTCGTCTCAACTCAATTTCAACCTTAAAAGAGTCAAAAAGTGTTGATCGGTTTTCTCGTGTGCGATCCATTATTTTCATTTTCATCTTAGTTTGATCCATTGGAAAAGTTTCTCGCAAACTCATTCATAAATTAACCAGGATGTACGTCGCTGCGTGGGTTGTGCATCTAGCAACACCAACGATGAGAGTTTCAGTGGTGGCAGTGCTCTAGGTGCTGCAGCTTTGTGCACCACCACTGAAACTCTCATGGATGGTATTGCACCACCACTGAAAAGGACGTATGTGTCACTGGTCTTGCCAAAATATTTGAATTTAATTGCCAGTTTCTAGTACTGGTACCTTGAAATCGGGACATGAAATTGAATTAATACGTCTTTTATTTGATCGTGGGCTATGACAGATCCATTAACATTTTGGTATCTTGCAAAGGAAATGGGACTGATGCAAAGCCTGCAACGCCACCTGCGGGTTCAACTCCAAAAAAGGATCCTTAAGAACCACCCAAATGTTTAAACAAAACAGGCAGAGATAATGACTAAACACCATCCATTAATATTTTTACTGTGTCCGGGGCCGTTATAGTAGTACATCACTCCCTACCATCCTTTACTCTTGTGTGATGATGGATGGGTCACGGGAGTCCCCTGTAATAAAGTGGCCATGGAATTCCGCCGTGGTTTCTCTGGGAGTCTTCTTCTTCTTCTGTATAAAGGTGGTAACCTGTGTGTTTGCTGGTGCTGTCTCTGCT